TTTCTCCTTTCTCTCTCCTACTGTCTCTCTGTCTCTGGCCAACTCTCTGTGTTTCTTTTACGCACGCACACACACACACACACACACACACACACACACACACACACACACACACACACACACACACACACACACACACATGACAAGTAATAATATACAGGTTTGTTTTTTAGATTAATTTTTTAAAATTTTGAACACACACAAACTCATGAAATATGTCGTATTTCCTCCCCCTCCCCCCCAGAATCCCCAACAGAGGAAGTCCTGGTACTACGAGGCAGCTGACGGCACCAAACAGGTGGCTGGGTTCTACAAGGCCTTTGACCAGATCACTTTTGTCACCGTGCGGGTAAGTGGTGGGGTCAGTGGGGAGTGGAGAGAGGTCAGTGGGGAGTGGAGAGAGGTCAGTGGGGAGTGGAGAGAGGTCAGTGGGGAGTGGAGAGGTCAGTGGGGAGTGGAGAGGGGTCAGTGGGGAGTGGAGAGGGGTCAGTGGGGAGTGGAGAGGGGTCAGTGGTTTGTGGAGGTGTCAGTGGGGAGTGGAGGTGTCAGTGGGATGTAGAGGTCAGCGGGATGTAGAGGTCAGTGGGGAGTGGAGAGGGGTCAGTGAGGAGTGGAGAGGGGTCAGTGGGGAGTGGAGAGAGTTCAACGGGATGTAGAGGTCGACGGGGAACCTCACGCGTTCGGCTTTTGCTTGGTGGTTGTGTGAAGAGAAGCACGTGGACTCAAAGTCAGTTGGTTCTTCCAAAAAATCATAACAGACTGACACAACAGTGGGAGAGTTTAGTAGGAGGTATACTTCATAGCGTTAAGGGTTCTAGATGGAAAAGTTTTCAGTTGATGGATGGTGTTTGCAGGAAAATCCAACTATTTTTCCACCTTTTTAAACCGTGAATGATTGTTGTTTTTATCGGGGAATTAGGGTTATAAACAAAAATATATTGTTGAACCATTTATGTACTTTGTGCATTCTTTAGAATTGTTCATGTGTTGGAACATTTGTCAAATATACATATTTTCTGACGGACTTTTCGTTCAATAAAGTTTCTGGCTTCTAAATTTGTGTTAGACGGTAACTGATAAGGATAAAGAAGACACCAAGTCTGGGGTGGTGCTTACATGGGCAAAATTGTCCAAAGTGTTGTTAAGTAAATGTCACTTTCTAAATCAGCTACAGAAACTAATAGATTTAGGCTTGTTACAACAGCGAGCTGAACCCAGTTTTTCTCAAAATTAACAAAAATGTAAAATCGCAAGTCCAGTAGGTGGCTATCTGGCTAGGAGATCTCTCCTGTGTTCATTCTTATTTGTGGCGTACGGTATCCTCGTGCATAAATGTGAGGCAGCTTGGTGAAATCAGGCGCTGGTCAAAATAAGGAAAGTCAAGAATCTAGCATTTTTCCGCATGTTTGGGAATTTTAAGCAAATTTTTGTTTTTTTTAGGCTCAACACCTTTCATGTCAATTGAAGAGCACATTTCTATGTGGGTTTAGTGAAAAAACGTTGATTAAAGGCACAAAAAAATGTAAATGTTTGGTTTCCACGGACTCTCAAGCTAAAGAAATAACCAAATTTTGACGGTCATTTCCTCACTAGTCTTACCTCTGAAATCAGGCGACCTTGCCTCCTTCAGTCTCCAATATCTGGACATGTATTCAAGATAAATGGATATTCTGTCATTGAAAGCAAGACAAATAACAAGCTTTAAAAGGATACCAATAACTCCAGATGCCCAAAAATTGACGAGCACCTCATTCCACCTCTTCGTGACACATATTACGATTTGATTTGACTTTGACAGTACTGTTGCAGGTTTATGTAAGCTGGTTTTGTGCAAAGTGAAATTTTATGTGGGATTTCTGTCAGTGATTTTGCGCAAATATTGGGGTTTTGTATGTAAGTTTGAGGAGTGGGTGGTTGGCGAGTGCTCTGGTGTGGTTTGCTCCTTCTTTCCTATCAAACATCTATCGTCTTTATCTCCCCTACTTCTATTTTCTGTTTGTTACTCTCTTGTAACACCTCTAATCTTTGGCACTTATAAGACTTTATTGTGTTGCAAGTGCCGTAAAACTGTTACTAAAACTAAAAACTAGACTAAGTTTGATGTTTCTGTGTTTTCAGGGAGCTGGTCACATGGTCCCCTCGGACAAGCCAAGGCCAGCCCTGAAGATGTTCTTGTCTTTCATCCAGAGACAACCTTTTTAAAGCCAAGGTGACGTCGCTGGCACGTCGCGGTCTGTGTGTACTGTCGTGGAGCTCGAGTGGTCAGACGTGAAGGTCTTTGCGGCAAACTGCCCCGTCTGTGAAGTCAAAATGTCAGAAGATCGGGGTTTTGCGACTAGTTCCACAGCTGTTGTCACATTATCACAAAGATGTTGCTACTGAACTTCTGTTTTGGGCAATGAATTTCTTTCCGTATCTCTCATGTTGGGCCATATTTTAGTTGGAACTTTTTTCTCCAACTTTACATATTTTACTTCTTTTTTTTTTGTACAGCTGATGTACTCTTCTTTTTTATTTTTTTTTTCTACTGAGAAGCCTATAGTCTGGTAG